CTATACATTTCCATTCTTCTACAGTGAACATGGATGATTTTGAGAATTAGGAAAAATTATTTTTTGAACATATAACTTATGGTTTTACTTGCCTGTCTTCCCCCAGGGGCTGTGAATGTTCCTTAGAGGGGAAAGCCGTGTTGGATCATTCCTGTGTCTCCACCTCCTAGCACTGGGCAGGGCACATAGTAGGTATGTGATAAATACAGGATGGATGGATGGATTGACGGAGTTAGAGATTACATAGCTCAGTGGCTAAGAATAAGAGCTTTTGGGGCCCCTGGGTGGCTCAGTCGGTTAAGCGTCCGACTTCGGCTCAGGTCATGAACTTGTGGTTCATGAGTTCGAGCCCCGCCTCGGGCTCTGTGCTGACAGCTCGGAGCCTGGAGCCTGCTTCAGATTCTGTCTCCCTCTCTCTCTCTGCTCCTCCCCCGCTCGCACTCTGTCTCTCTCAAAAACAAATAAAGATTTTAAAAATTTTTTAAAAAAGAGTAAGATCTTTAGACTCAGACAGAATTGGGCTGGAGTCTGCTCTGCCTCTTAGCAGCTGTGTGACACTGAGTGAATCACTTAACCTCTCTGAGTTTCTGTTGAGCCCCATCTGTGAAAGGGGCTCAAATTCCTGCTTGATGTGAAGCTGAGGGTCTGGATGCACAGTCCCTGATGTAGACCAGACCCTCGACACCTGCAGCAACAGCATCTTCAGCTGGAGAAGATGGGGAGCGAGTGCCCGGACGTTCCTTCCAAGAATACGGACTGACCCTCCCCCAAGTCCTTCATGTTCGGACTTCAAAATCAAACTGGATTTGGCTTCTGGCTCTGCCTGTGACTGGCTGTGTCACCTCAGGCAAGCCACATCACCTGTATGCTTCTGCATTGTCTTCTGCAGAATTACGATATTGATGACAATAGCTGGCACGTAGTAAGTGCTTACTGTGTGCCACCCTCTGAGCCGAGCGCTTCCTGTGCCCCGAGAAGTGAGGTGATATGATGGTTAAGGTTCAGGTGTAAGACTCAAACCACCAGGGTTCAATTAGTAGTTTACCCCCTCCTCCAGCTTGAACAACCTTGGGCAAGTTACTTAACCTCTCTGTGCCTCAGTTTCCTCCCTACAAGATGGAGTTAATAATAGTGACCTCACTGGGTTGCTACGAAAATTATGTGATATAAGAGATGCAAAGGACTTGGGAGAGTGCCTGGCACTTAGCACGTAATCGATTTGTCTTATACAATCATCACGACAGCCATCTACTCTTATGGACTTATCCCCAAGAGGAAACTGAGGCTCAGAGAGGTGAAGTGACCTGCCCAAAGCTGCACAGTCAGCAAGCTGCAGAATTGGAAGGTGCACCCTGATTTGGCTGCTTAAAGCACAGGCTCTCCCAAGGCCAGGGGAGGTCAAGGACCCAGCAAGGTGCATGGCACATAGTAGGTGTCGCTCCACCTCAGAGTGGACTTCCCACCCAGCCCCAGCCCCAGCCCCACCTCTAGCCTGGAGGCAGCTCCTCCCGCCCCTCCTGGCCTGTGATGGGCTCTGAATCGTTTACAGCTGAAGTCCCGCATCACTGCATCAAGCAGAGCCCTTGCCAGCTTCAGAGAAAAACCAAATGTGTTCAGCGTCAGGTCAGAGAAGTGTTCGTTTTTATTAGCGTTAATCTAATACGTTGTCTTTCCTCGCTGAACTCTGAATAAGTTAATCAAGGACAGGCTGGATTTGTGTTTTCTTAATAACGCCGCCTGATTCCGAAGGCTGCCTGCTGTGAGCTCTAGGCTCCGGGCATCTTTCTTATTTTCTCTTGCTTCTCTCTTTACATTTTATAAAAATACATAAGATTTCCAGGGGCAGAGGGGTTAGCGTGGCATAGGAGGCGGCCTGCAAGCTTTGAAATTAAATGAATCTTGTTTCAGATCTCAGTTCCTCACTTCTACCCAGGTGGCCTGCGTTTCTGAGTTTAAAATTTTCCTATTTGTAGGGGCGCCTGGGTGGCGCAGTCGGTTAAGCGTCCGACTTCAGCCAGGTCACGATCTCGCGGTCCGTGAGTTCGAGCCCCGCGTCGGGCTCTGGGCTGATGGCTCAGAGCCTGGAGCCTGTTTCCGATTCTGTGTCTCCCTCTCTCTCTGCCCCTCCCCTGTTCATGCTCTGTCTCTCTCTGTCCCCAAAATAAATAAACGCTGAAAAAAAAAATTTAAAAAAAAAATTTTTCCTATTTGTGAAAGAAAATAACAATAGTGTCTAGCTTTCTGAGTTGGGTGGTAATTAAAGCAATGAAGCTCTTACAACATGGTCCAGCCCATAATGATCACTCAATAGACAGTAGCTATTATACTTCTACTGATAGTAACTCACTACCAGGTCACTATTAAGTGACCTAGAATCATGAACCAGGAGATGCGATAAGCATTTTCCATAGATCCTTCCATTCAAATACGTGAAGAGCAAACAGGACAGCGGCTGGCGTAGAGTAGGTGTTCAAGAAATGGCAGTCATTTCTGGTAGAAGTGGCTGTGGCAGTGTATTCTCACAACAAATGGGAAGTGTTGTGAGTGTTGTTGGTTATCGATGCACCACAAGGAACTCCCACTCCATCCGGGACCTCAAAAGCACAGGTGATCACCATTCACCTAATGGCCCTGATAGGGACCATACTGGGTGGGGGGGTCAGGGACAATTTCCTGGAGGCGAGCTAAGCTGAGAGGGGAAGGAAGAGTGGCGTTGACCCTTGGAGGCACTCCAGACAGAGGAAGGGTCATTCATTCATGTGTCCATCCCATCATTCCTTCATTCCACAAGTATTGAGACAAGTATTTATTGAGCACTGGCTCTGTGCCGGGTGCTGTCCCTGGTGCTGAATGAAGAGCATGGGGGAAATAGGAGAGGCAACGTTTCTGCCCTCATGGCACTGACAGTCTGGTAGGGGAGGCAGACTACAAACAAGGAAGAAACACATAAACAAGACGCTTTCATATGATGGTAAGGTCTGTGACAAAAATAAAACCAGGAAATATGGTTGTGACCAGGTACAAAGTGGGGCTGTTTTAGTTAGGAAGGCCTCTCTCGGAAGGCGAGGTTTGACTAGGGACCCAAAGGAAGGGAGGAAGGGAGCCATGCAAGGATACGGAAGAAGAGCATCCCAGATAGAAGAAACTGGTTATACAAAGACCCTATGGTAGGAACAGGCTTGGCACATTCAGTGAATGGCAAGAAGGACAGTGGGGCAGGGTGTGGTGGTGTGGGTGGCGGGGGGTGGGGGGTGGTGGTGGCGTGCAGAGCCCTACGAGGTAAGTTTGGAGCGGTGGCCATAACAGGGGGCTCTGGAGTTTATCCTAGGTGGGGTAATAGCATATCCTAAGGTGCAGGCTTGTGACAAACTTTGGGATTTGTAAACTACTAGGAGTTCAGAGTGGCTAGGGAGAGACACAGCTGGGTGGGTGAAGCGAAGCCACTTCACAATTTCTCCATTCTGTGTAGCACCTCGTACCTCACCTGGACCGAGAAGATGGGGTCCCTCCCGCCAGCAGATCCACGAGGACTTCCTGATCACCTCTAAGACCCAAAACGTGCCAAGCACTGTGCTGGGTACTTTCCTAACCAGTGTCCCAGTGAGCTCTCAGGAGACGCCCAGAAGGGAGGGGTCGTTATCCCCATTTGACAAACAGCAAAACTGAGTCATGAGAAAGTGAAACTATTTGCCTGGGCCACATGGCTGGTTGGGACAGAAGTGGAACATGAATCCAAGTCCCCCAATCTGTTCTGCCACGTCCCACACTCTCTTCCACCTCCCTGTGAACGCCGGGTTCTTAAAGAAGCAGAATTCTAGGAGATCCCCGAGCGTAGGAAGGTGGGGTCCCCTGGATGGCTCCTGAGCCCAGTACAGGGTGGGACCGAAGCCGGGGAACGTGCTCCCCTGTGTGAGTCCCTGCCACTAATCCTGCTTCCTTCCATGGCGGAAGAAGGGGTTTTCCATGAGCTGAATCACAGCAGAAGTGTGATATATGGCAGGGAACACAAAGGCTGGGGAGGTTTTCCTTCTGTCCTGATTGGTGCTGGATCCTCCCAAACCATCTGGCCTGGATTCCCAAAACATGCCATGTGTGTTCATCTCCAGAACTGCAGGGTTGCGGGCTCCTCCCCCGCATGCTGGTCAGCCGGGTGGACGTCGGCAGACTCTGGAAGGCGGTCCAGGGGCCAAGCGTTCAGGCCAGATGTGCCTCTCCCCGGCTGTACGGCCCTGGGCAAGTGTCTCCCTTCACCAAGCCTCAGTTTCCACATCTGTTACCTGGGTGGAGGGTCACACCCCTTGTTCATGAGGTATAGTGGAAACCGAGTAAGGTAACGCGCTCACAGAAGAAAGCCTTTTTCGACTGAAAGGCTAAGAAAATGCGAGGAAATACCTCCAGGGCAACGATGCCCTCCAACTGCCATCACCAAGAGATCCGTCAAGATGGGCCGACAGGCAACACGGTACAGCAGAGCCACGGCATGCCGTGGAAGCCAGAGCTCACAGAGTTCCTGAGCCTTCTCACGGGCAATGTCACTGACTAGCTATGTCACCGTGGGCTCTTGGTGCCTTGGTTTCCTCATCCTTAAAATGGGAATAACAGCACCTTCTACAGAGTTGTGGTAACAATTCAATACACATTAAAGTGCTTAAGTACCTGGCACATCGTAAGTGCTCAGTAGATGCTGTTTTAATGTCCATGTGTATTTATTTAACAAGACTAAAAAAGGCTGCGAGGAAATGTCAGACTTTGAACTCTGGCAGATGTAGGGTTCAAGTCCACGCCTGGCTGTTTACAAGCTGTGTGACCTTGGGCAAGCTATTTCTCTGGGCTTCAAATTTCTCCTCTGAAATGGGGACGAGAGCGAACCCCCGGGCATGTCTACAGCCGTGACTATATGGCAGCCGGTTCCTATTCAACACTGAAGCCTGGTGGCGGTCACTGTATTCTTCTCACCCCCTCCCTTCCCCTTGGCCACCTTCCCTGTCTGCCCCTCTTACCTCGCTCCTCCTCCTTCTCCCGGACGATCCTCCCCTTGAGGGCCCGGCTCCAGGCTCCACCGTAGTCACCCAGCTTGGCCCTCTCGCTCCCGTCCTTGCCCTTGAACCAGGGTCCGTACCTGCGGGCAATGTTCGAGGCTTCACCCGTGTCCCGGAAGCCTCTGCCCAGATGCAGGTCACCCAAGAAGGGCAGCTCAGCGCCTTCGGCCTGGACCCCCGCAGCGGGGCTGGCCTGGCTCTGGGAGATGGCGGGCTGGCCCACGAAGCCAGAGTGAAGGAAGACCAGGCTCCCGGCCGTCAGGTAGAGCACCAGGAAGGTAAAGAAACGCACAGGCTTCCTGCGGAAGTACCGCTGGAATTTGAACCAGAGCTTGGCCATAGCAGGATCATTCCGGACTGGCTCGCTGGGGCTTGGCTGGCAGGGGGGTTTCAGGAAGGGGATGGAGGGGGGCTGCGTTCCCGAAGCTTCCCTTCGGGATGGAACCCCTGGGGGTCTGCAGTCTTATTCCTTCCGCAAAGGTGATGCTTGGCTGATGCCAAGAGAATGGAGCCCTCCTGAGGTCAAGGTGAGCTTCCTGGAGCCACAGAAGGGACCCCACACCCAGGAGTCAGTCCCATTTTCCTATATCTTGTTCCTCACGTCAGAAAGCTCCCAGAGAACTTGGATAATGGCAGTCGCAGGAGGATTCTGTCGGTCACCAGCACCGCAGCTCACTTTGCACCTTTTCTTGGCTCTTCCGGCCTGTCAGGGCTGGATTCTTTCACCGAGGGCCATTTTCTGGCCCCTTTCCCAGCTGGGGGCCACGCTCGGTGCATCCACCTCGTGGAAACGGAGGCTGCCGGGTTTCCATCTGCTCACGCATTAGGGCTCAGGACTGCCGCCTGCAAAACAGCACGGACACGGGCTTAAGAAGCCTCCTCACGGAGGCCAGAGCTCAAAGCGTTCTTAAGCCTTCTCCCCGCGAATGCAGAGCCCCGAGGAAGGGAGGGAACCAATGGCCTGAAGCACCCAGCAAGTGCTTGGATGGAGGCCCAGTCCCGGGTCTTCTAGAACACCTGCCTTTTTCTGTAAGCCAAAGTGGGAATTTGGGGGCCTGTCTCCTCCTGGGCCCTCATTTTCGGACACACTTTACCTCGGACAAGCTCAAGTCCTTAGGGCCCACATTTCCTATGTCTGTCAAACGTACACTGATACGTGAACTATTTTAAGCCTAAAAAGTACTTCCTAGGGTCCCTGCTGAATTGCCTGCTGGACCTGGCTGATTCGGAACCAGATCAAATTCATTCTTTTTTGTTGCTGTTGTTCCAGCAAATGCTTAGCGAGCACCCCACTATGTAGCAGGTACTGTCCTAAGCGCCGGACATAAAGCCATGAACCAGAGAAACCAAGTCCCTTCCTTCCCGGGGCTCACATTCCGGTGGGAGAGATCAAAGCCATAGCCCCTCTCCTCTACCCAAGGAAGAAAAGGAAAAGAAATCTGATTTAGCGACATAGCCATCACTCGGCATTTATTTAGCATCTACAGTCCGCCCAGCTCTGTGCCGAGCCCCCTACATGCGTTAGCTCACGTGGTCTTCCCAGGGTTCCTAGGGGAGGAACAATTTCCCCACTTCACAGATGAGGAACCTGAGGCCGCACAGCCTCACAGGTCTGTCCCACAGGTCGACTTGGGAATTGAACCCAGGACAGTCCAAATGCAAAACCACAGCTCTTAATCACTGCGTTTTTGACCCGGCTTTTGTCCTACACGGACTAGATATCACGTGGGGATTCAGAGATAGGCTCTGAAGCAGCAGCCCGCCTCCACGGCCTCCCAGGGACACTGCTCACTGTCTGACAGGGCCCCTCAGGGTGTGGTCCACGGAGCATCTGATGCATGATCACCTGAGAACCTGGTTAACTACGAAGATTCTGGACCTCTCCAGCCCAGATTTCTGGTAGAAGGGGAAGTCTACAGGTGTAACAAGGTGTCCTCAGGTCATGGTGACGGGCACGGAGGGCCGAGGGCACTGCTTTATGAGTAAACGTTAAGGATCATCAGCCAGGAGGAAAACAGAATACGAATCAGAAAACCGAATACTCCTTTTGGCTGGTGCGATTTCATGTTATCACCAGCAGGGGGCCTCGTGACAGTCTTGGCCAATGTACAGGACTAACTGGCAGCCAATGGCTGATCTGAATGGTAACAGCCCCTCCGGAATGCAGACAGTGGCACGGGAGTTTAACTGTGGTTCAGGGGAGATGCCATCAGTAGTCCATACGCCATCCCATTCATTCAGGTACTAAGTGCTAAGCACCTACTATGCAGTTATTGTGCTAGGCACTTGGAATAGATAAGTGAAAAAAAAAAAACAGCTCCAAATTTTTGTGGGGTCAAACAACCCGTTTCTCCATCGCTCCGTCTATCTGTCCACCGCTTTAACCCATCCATCAGTCCACCTGCCCACCCATCAAGTCACAATCTATCCATCCATCCACTGTCCATTCCTTCATCCATCCATCAATCCACCTGCCCGTCCATCCATCCACCATTCGTCTGTTCATTAATCCACTCATCCACCTACCCATCCTTCCATCCGTTCAAAAATGTGCATTGCTTGCCTACTGTGTGTGCTTGGGGATACCGAAATAAATAATCCAGAGTCCCCCTTTCAGAGAATTCAGAGTCCGCCGAGGGAGATAGCAACTCTAAACCACCACTGTACGAAATCACTGCACTAGATCGTGCTAAATCCTGTAGTAGATGTAGAAGATACAGAACAGCAATTAATAGCTAATGTTTACTGAGCACTTCACAGGGCCGACATTGCTCTGAACACATACATACTCTGAATCCTTGCAACATTTCTACGAGGGAGATCTGTAACCGTTTTACAGAGGAGAGAAACGAGGCTCAGAGAGATTAAGTAATTTACCCAGGGCCACAGAGTTGGCGGGGGGGGGGGGGGGGGGGGGACTTGAATGCCAAGTCCAGGAGTCTGGACTATGTTCTATCTGCGTGCATGCGGAACCACTGAAGTTCCAAGGTCACACTGATACTTTAAACCAGGCAGTGGGTGGTGACCCATGGTATTCCGTGGAGATCACACACACGCCAGATGTTTCTGCAGCTGGGCCAGGGTGAGAAAAAGCCAGCAGCCATCATGGGGATGGGCAGAAGGACACCAGCCCTTCCAGAAGCAGACGAGGGCATAGGCTTTGGAGGTGGACTGACCTGGGTTCAGATCCCGCCTCTTCCACCTGCCGGCTTGTGGGACTGGGTCAAGACACCTGTTCTCATGAAGATCCTCACCTGTAACGTGGGTGTAAGAATCAAGACACCTCCCCCCAAATATATTTGCTGGGAGGGCTGCACTTAAAAATGTAGGAAGAGTGCCTGGCACACAGTAGGTGCTCAAGAAAAGCACCCCCTAACCCCACTCCTCTCAAGGGCACATGTGAGCAGCCTTCAAAGGCATTTGCCGCAGCAGCTCATTTGCTGCCGTGGAGACGGCAGAGATCCTGGCTGTTGTGTTCCCTGTGGCTTTTTGTCTCTCTGAGGATATTTCTGGGTCTAGTCCTTTTTTGTTGTTCCCTTCTTGTTCTTTTCTATTTCAACACATCTTTTCTCTAAGTGGGTGCCAAATGGGTTTTAAGAGGATAATGAGCTCATTAGAAGCTGGCAGGGAACAGAAAGAGACAGAGGCATTGGTGGTGTGGGGAGTGAAGGGGACCCATCCGGGAAGGGACTGTGGGGAGGGGGGCTCCTCCAGGGGACAGGGGGGCGGTGCTGATTTGAGCCACCCACGCCACCTGCCAGTGCTGGGAGGGAGGGCACCCGGAGGGAGAACACCCTGGAACCTGGGCAACATGGGGGTGGGGGCGTCCAGTCTGTTCTCTCTCCGTGTTAGCCCCAGCATCTGGCACACAGCAGGTCCTCAAGAGGTGCAGGAAATGAGAAGAGTCAGGGGACTGACCTCCCCTGGGGGCTTAAACCTAAACCCTGTCACCACAACACTGGTGACAGCCTCAGAGAATGACACTCAGGGCTCTGTGAAGGGAGTACCTTTCGTTTCACAGCTCTGGGTGGTCCTGGAGTTCAGGGGGCCCCGATGAGCCACAGCCCCCCCTCCCCAAGGGAACCCCAAAGACTTCTCTGCTTCTCACCACCCTCTGCCATCCTCTCCCCATCCCCAAGCCTCTGTCTGTCTCTTTCTCTCTCTCTAGACAGAAATCCTAACCCCAAAGCGAATGCGGAAATGAAATGAACGGCCATTTATTGAACACCTACTATATGCCGGACGCTGCATTCAAAGACTTTACAAACACGTTCTCACAAACTCCTCCCTCCCAGCAACCTGTGAGAGCAATGGCTCTCCCCAGCCCACAGATGGCACATGGACAATGCCCCCGGGGAAGGCGGCACGTGTTGGCCTCCACCTCCCCGTCTCCACTTGCCTGTTACACGTTGGAAGCCATAATCCCGTCAGCATCCTGTCCTGTCACTTACAGGAAGCCTTACAGAAATCCATGAGCCTGAGCAGGGGGCCCGCCCTCCCTCTCTCTTCAGCCGGGCAGGGGCCCGCGGCTCTGTGAGCTCCACTCTTCTCTTGTGAGCCGACCACAGTCTTCCTGCTGGGGCCCTGGGAGGGTCCGGTGAGATGCCCACCCCAGAGGCCTGGAGTTGGTGCTATGAGCGATCAGTCTCCATCCCTCTCCATTTTGCATGACAACCCCCTGAGCCTCAGTTTCCCCATCTACTCAATGTGGCAGATGACCCGATCCCTCCCCTGCCTCCCTCCCAGGGCTGGCGGGGGTTTCCACCACCGTGAGGGCAAGACGTCCCCCCTCTGCAGGAATGGCAGCATTTGGTTACTGCGGTTCGTGTTTCCAGCCGGAGCCTCGCAGCGTCTAAACACAGCCTATTTTTAGCACCAGAATGAACTTCTGGTGTTGAGTTGCGAAGAAAATAACTGGCGGGGCAGAGCTGCCCTGTGGGAAGGGAAGACAGGAGGTGAGCCGGCCCCGTGGCCCCCGGGGCCCCTGGGAGGGGCCGTGGAGCTTGTCCTTCCAGATGGCAGGGGCAGGTGGGTCTGGCCAGAAGTCCGTGAGCCTGAGCAGGGGGCCCGCCCTCCCTCTCTCTTCAGCCCCCTGAACTTGACTTGAGGGCCTCAGTTGACCCCGGTGACCATCCAAGCCTCTCCAAGAAATAGCTCCCCAGAAACCAGGTTTGTCAAGTTTGGGTTTCTCCACACATCTGGGCAGGGGACACACCCCTGGGGATCTTCAAGCGACTGGGAGCCCAGACCAGAGACGAAATTTTAGCGCTGGCCTAATGGGGACGTCGGAAATCAGCAGTGTCTGTTGTTGAGCGTTTACTATGTGCCAGGCACCGTGCC